GACCATTGACCAGCTTATGTGACATTAATATTGGTGAGTTGGAAATATGCGTGATTACACGCCCTTGAAAGTGAGTTAAAACAATATTTTACTTTTAAAAAAATCAATTTAACAAAATTAAAAAACAAGATTCATCTTCTTCAACCCTCCTTCACCTACTCACCCACCCACACACGACTTTCTTCTTCTTCTTCTCCACCAGCCCTCTCTCCTCTACCCCTCACCACATCCCTCAACTTTCTTCTTTCTCCAGACCGCCCCCATTCACTCTTCTCCGTCTCTTCTTCTTCTTCTTCTTCTTTTTTTATACAAATCAGTAGCCTCAACTTCTTCTAAAATTTTCGTTTTTTATGTTTGAAAAATATTAGTGTCATTATTTTATTAGATGGTTTCAATGAGAAAATGTGGATAATGTGAAGGATGATTGTGACTATTGAAAATTTTAAAACTCCATTGATAAACATGAAAAAACTTATAAAATAATAAATGGGTCTTGTGAATTTGTGAAATTAATTAAAAATTTTAATTGGGGTTCATTGAGTTTGTGTTGGTGAACTTGTAGTTGAATTTACAAGTTAAATCGAGAAGAATTTGATCTAATGTGACCAAATATGAAGAAGATAACTATTTGAAAAGTTTAAGAAATTAAAAAATTGATCTATTTGATTTTTTATTTTTTTAGCACTTAATTTCGTACATGGCACTAAAAAATGATGTGGAATTCCACGTGTAATCGTGTCCATTACACGTACACTGACCGGAGGAGAAAAGGGCTTAAAATGTTGTGTTCTAATGGATTTAAAGGTCTAGTTAAAAAAATGATGAGTATGAGGGTCTGACAAACAGAGTCAAGTAGATGAGAGGTAAAGATGTCTAACAAACTTAATTGAATTAGATGTCTAACAAACTTGAATTACTATCTAAGCTAAAGATGAGAGGTGACAAATATTGTTAGATCTTTCCGGCTAGATTAGTTTCTTTTTGCCTCTTTCTTTGTTGTAAATTTTTCTATGATAATAAAATTCTTACTTAACAAAAAAAAATATTTCTTTAAATTAGCTTTTAGATTGATGAGGTCACGACTCATGTATATGGAACACTTGTACCACAAGTATAAAAATACCTCTTTTTTTGGCTTCCAAGTGTGTGTTCATTTACGTTTAGGTCTAACAATATTCTATCAGTAATAATTCAGTATCTCATACTTTCCAAATATAAAAATATCATGAAGAAATCGTCTAGCGGGCGTATCATGAATTTTTTCTTTTATTTATAATTTTTCAAGTTGGAATAAGAGCTTGAGTTGTGTTTAATCATAATTTTTTTTAAAAAATAATGTATTATACCTCCAATTTTTATGAACTAGCAAAATCACTAACTAAACTAATTTACCTTAAACATCCAATTAAATTTTCTCTAAAGAGTAATATCTCAAAACAGATATTCTGAAAATGTCATATATTCTATTCTATAAGTACAAGCTACTTATTGCTAATATTTTTTCACTTTTTTTGAAATTGAAGTTGAAGATGGAATTATATTTGGTTATGATTATAGATAATATTATTTGGATCCTAATTAAAGAAAACATGAAATATGTGAATGTGAAATATAATTTAAATGAAGTTATTTTTATCAAAATTAAAAATTTAGGGCAAATCTGGAACAGAAAATATAATGAAAGTAAGAAAAAATGAATAAAAAAAGTGATAACAAAAAATTGAATGTTACATTTTCTGAATTACAAATAACAACTTCAAATTTTATTTAAAATTTACATAACCAAACACTGAGTTTTAAACAAAATTGGTTTTTTTTAAAGAAAAAAGTAAAAAATTTCACGGCAGCTTGCTTAAGCAGAAAAAGCCTGCCTTTCATTAGTCTTTGTACGTAATTAGCGTTACTATCAGGTCAGTAAAACTTAGCTGTTATAATAATTAAAAAAGTGACCAACTCATTTTTATTCCTTTTTTTCCGGGCTAAATTCAAATTGCGCACATGGTAAGGCCCATTCTGGATGGCGGCATGCCACTCTTAGCAGATTTTTCTTGATACTCATAATTTGAATTCAAAAACCCTGATTAATGATGAAACAATCCCACCACTATACCACAACCGTCGATAACTCAGTTTTGTTCTGCCCAAATTCATAGTGACAGAAAAAAAGTGTGTTAACAAATTTTTAGAAGCATTGATAATGGACGCGCGCGCATATATATATATATATTATGATGATGATGATAATGATTTTTTAAAAAAAATATCTATAAATATTTAATTGTAAATTACTCAATTATTATATACTAATTGAAAAGTATTATAAAAATTTGTAATTTTAAATTTTGAATTCGCCTCTAATATTGTCACCAGACTTAGGAATAAGGAGAAGTGTCAATATCAAAGATGACGTGAATAATATCATGCGACTTGCTTATTGAGTTAAGTTAAATTATATGCTAATGTTTTGACTATAAAAACCAAGTTGGGAGGGCATAGTTTCTCAAATCCATAAAATTTCTTCTTCGAAGATTAGGCAAATCATTTTTTGACGACTTTTATCACCTCAAATGTCACCACACACGTTTCTCACTATGTTCATTTTTATTTTTTTTTGGTGTCAAAATGAAAGCCTGTTTCAAACAGTCAATTATACTGAATAGTGAATACTAGTTAAGGGAAGTATATGTCATATGTTTTTATCTATAAAAATGGTAAGTGTTTATACTACTTATTATATGGAGTATTATATGTTTCACACATATAAATTGATCCCCACACCACTAAAAAGAATATAGGTTCATTTTTTTTTATTTTTTTTTAAGCAACGACTAGAAAGAAGGATATTTTTGAACTATTTTATTAGTTGGAGAGCATTTTTGAACAAAAATAATAATAATAAAAGCATTTTTGAGCCGCAAAAATATAATGGTGGATAAAATTAACGCATTTGAAATAGTTCATGAATATATTTGATCCCTTTCCCAAAAAGAAAAGAAAAACGTTTTTGAGCTATAAAAACGTATCGGAAGATAAAACTAATGCATTTTAAATAGTTCACAGATTTGACCCCTTTCTCGAAAAGAAAGAAAAGAAAAGAAAAGGGATGTCTTGGGCCTCATGGCAGCTCAAACACAATTATCTCATCAGAAATATGTCTTCAAATTGTATAGGTAAAATTTGAAACTTTATGATATAGCTATTTTATATTATATTTAGTAGCAATAATAAATATGTGTATTTATAATCAATATTCTATATAAATGTTATTAAAGGTGTTATTGATTCTGAATGCAATATCATTAACTCAATTACTACTAAATATTTTTGAGACAATAACTATTGCCGCCAAAGAAAAATCTATTGTCACTGCATTTCTCTATTTCTTATTATCTGTTTCACTAGTACTTTATTAGAATTCTATTTTATGTAGTGATTATCATCATAAACATCTTGTAAAGCAAAATATGTATATATATATCATCAAAGGAACATAATAATAATAATAATAATAATATAGTTTTGTTTCTTTGTAATACTCATGAGTAGGTTGAAATGTCCAATTAACAAGAAATACAAACATGGGGCGGCAACAAAAATTAGAGCATTGAAAATAATTGTGAATACAATGAATCCTACCACTCAAAATTAATTCATTTGGTGACCTTAAATTCTTTATAAAATAATTAATCTTCACTGTTTGCTTAATGAATTAATGGTCAAAACTACAAGTGAGGAAGCCGTTGACGTATTAAAGTCACACATAAAATATTTTGTTGACTTTGCAGTTTTTGTTCTCTAATTAAAGCGTGCAAGAATATGAATCGTGTTCAGGTTTCTATGCTATTATAATAAATTTAATTTAACCAAAAACCTCAAATAATTCATATATAGTCAGCCCTCATATAATTGTACGTTCATGTATTTATTTATTGTTTACCTTTGTAAGCCCCCAAAAGAGAACTAAAAGTAGAGGTCTACAGACTTTTTCAGAAAGAGTTTTAAAAAATTATAATTTTTATCTTTTTTCTCCTTTGATGACTCGAATCCACGATATTAGTTTTATGTTAGTAACTAATCTGTGACAATAATTTACAATCATAAATATAAGGGTGTATCAAATTATATAAGAAGGTTTGGAGTCTAACTAGATCAAATTACAAATCTTTCCCTTCTTCAAAATTGAGCGGGATCTAAATGTGAATACAGTTAGTAAAACCTCTTTATAACAATCATCCCACATTCATTAGAACGATCAAGTTTTCTTTATTACCGACTTTCATATTATGTTATATTTATATATTCTTTATAATTAAAACGTCCCAAAATAAATTCAGATAAACAACACTGTTACAAAGATATTTGACGGTAAAACTCAACGTGTGTCCGCAATAAGACCAGAATAATCATATTCTTTTTTTTTTGGTTTTCCACCTAGTGTCCAGAGCCCACATTGAAACTCCGACTAAATTCGAATTGCACTGCAGGGCCCTGCATTCTGCTTCAACGTTTTTGCGCGTGTTGTTATTCTGCCAGCAGAATATTAGTTGACACGTCAAAATTAAAAAGCTGAGCTAGTCTTCGATAAATAAATAAGCCTCTTCTTTAATAGCAATTTAAATTTTTAGATGAATCTATTCCATAATTTAATTAACATATAACATGGTTCGATCGATTCAGAAAATCCTTGAGGCCTGGACCACCTCACATTGAAAATGTTTTTTTTTAGAAACCAAAGAAAATTAACAACGACTAAAATATTTTGATAGGACATTAGTGTCAACTTGCTGGTAAAGAAAGATAATTTCATAATATTAATTATAGTCATGATATAGAATTATTAATCATCTTAATTAATACGAAATCAAGCATGCTTGTTCAATTCATGTCAATTATAAAACTCTCATTCTTTGCCGACCATGACCTCTTCTCTTAATTCATGATAATCTCCTCTTAATTCATCTTCTTCACATCATTAGTCAATTGTCCTTTTAATTAATCCTATGGAGAAATCCGACCAAATTGTTACATGGAGCTCTGAGGAACTATTAGGTTTAGGGAATGTTAAGTTTTATAGATGTAGCTTTTGTAAACGAGGTTTTTCGAATGCACAAGCATTAGGTGGACATATGAATATTCATAGAAGAGATAGAGCAAGGCTTAGAGAATTTTCAAGTGATCAAAATTTGCTTTCATTGGATATCAAAAACTCCGTTTATCCTCCTCCTCCTCCTGGAAATGATGAGTTGTTGCAACAAGAAGTATCATTATATGATGAGGGAATAATTTGTATCCCCTCGAAAAGGCCATGTGTTAAGGTCATGAGTTGTGATCATAATCCTCCTCCTTGTCCTCCTGCTCTTCCACATGATGTCTTGTTGCAACGAGAAGAATCATTGTATGGTGAAGCAATTATTAGTAGCCCTTCGAGAAGGCAATGTGTTAAGGTGAGTTGTGATCATAATCCTCCTCCTCCTCCTACTCTTCCACATGATGTCTTGTTGCAACGAGAAGAATCATCGTATGGTGAAATAACTATTAGTAGCCCCTCAAAAAGGCCATGTGTTAAGGCGAGTTGTGATCATAATCCTCCTCCTCGTCATGCTCTTCCATATGATGTCTTGTTGCAACGAGAAGAATCATCTTATGGTGAAACAATTATTAGTAGCCCCTTGAAAAGGCCATGTGTTAAGGTGAGTTGTGATCATAATCCTCCTCCTCCTGCTGCTCTTCCACATGATGTCTTGTTGCAACGAAAAGAATCATTGTATGATGAAACAATTATAAGTAGCCCCTCGAAAAGGCCATGTTTTACATATGATCAAGAAAAGGATCATTATGATCATAGTCTTTCTCTTGTAAATGATGATTCGTTCCAACGAGAGGTATCATCATACGATGAGACAATAATTAGTAGCTCCTCGAAAAGGCCATGTGTTACATATGATGAAGAAAATGATCATCTAATTACATCCAAGGTTAATTGTTATGATCATAATCATGAAGTGATTATTGGAGATCTTTTGCAATTACCTTTATTCAAGGAGACTCCATTAGTTAAAAAGGCAAACAATTGTATGGAAAACGGGAAAGTAGAAAACAAGGGCATGGAGCAAAATCATGTTTCAATATTGGATCTTGAGCTTCGGTTAGGGATGGAACCACCCGAGTCCTCGACAGAGACAGATCTACGATTTGAACTTCATAAGTTTTGAATTTGAAGCTTATAAGATCTAAGTTTACCATATATACATATTTAGCAAATTTCTCAACAAATATACACAATTTAGACTTCAAGTCAAAGTTATTGAGTTTTATCAAATCTGGAGTTGTAATTTGTTTTAAGATGTTGATCAAGTATACTTGCTACTTGCTAGAATCCATCAAAGAGGTACTTTTCTTTACTCATCCTTACAACTTCCCTCTTCTGTCTTTTTTTTTATTTTTAATATGTAATATTTATTTAAGTTAAACGATCTAAATCAACAAAAGAATATTGTTATTTTGTTATTTTTCTCTCTTTTCCTAAACCTTAAACTTTTGCTAAGTACGCATGCTTGTACTCCTATACTAAAAAAGATATTTAATTCATGTTATATATTTTGGATCAGAAATAGTTGTCTTGAAGTTTAGGTGTACTAACTCTAATGCTATGTATATTTCTTTGTTCCTTTTTGTTTGTTTTGTTAATTTTACTTTTCTTTGTTTTGAGAGGAACAACACTTCCAATTAATGTTATTATTTTGAAGATAAGAGAGTAAATTAAAACATAGTCTAAATCAATGATATTGTTCTAATACATCATGTAAATATCAAATTAATTGTATCTCTCTGCCTTTTCCTAAATACATATGCACAACCATATATGCATTCTTCCATTGATTTTCTAATATGTGAACTAAAAAAATATCATTACTTAAAATGAAGCTAGTTTTTTTTTTATTACTTTTTTACTTGTGAGATACCCACAACCTGGTCTTTTGATTTCACGAATTCAAGCTCTAACTTTTTTTTTTGAATCTTATTATATCTTGTCCATGCCACGTTTAATGTCTCTTTGAGGAAAGTCACATAACACATTGTTCATATTTCTCCTTTGGAAAAATATTTTTGCTTTGCAAAGCATGTTCAATCAACTCTTGTTTTGACTTGGTCTTTCTTCATTATGGAATTGTAAAAATCGGACAAGTTTATCAACGGTTTTTGGTATTTAAATCATTGAGCAAGTCACGGAGCAAGGATCGTTATTAGGAGGGTTTAAAATATGAAAAGTAATCACACAGATAATTAAAGGAGGTTCAATATATGTTATATTTTTATATACCTGATACTAAACGTTGAAATCCTTTGGGTGAAAGAACACTTTTCAATTAATGAAATTCTCGTGAAAACAAATGACTTAAATATTTCTCCCATAGCTTACCATAACAACTACAATATACCCAATATAATTTCACAAATGAGATCTGAAGAAGGTGATACGTATGGGGAAATTTTTTTTATCATGTAAAGATTGCAAAGGATACAATGTAGGGAAAATTAGCAATTAAGTCATAATATCTAACATAATTAGTCAAAATAACAATACTTTAAAATATTTATTTAAAATGGTAGAATGACAATATTTTTATAAAATAATATGTATTCAGATTTTAGTATTTTAAATTAATTTTATTTATGGAAAGAGTCCTATATTAGACCAAATTATATACCAATAACCGTTTAAAGTGAGAAAAAAATAACATTAAACCAATACCATTAACCTTTTTTCATCACCATTCACGTTTCTTCCCTAACTTTCACGTTTCTTCCCCAACTTTCACGTTTCTTCCCCACCTTTCACGTTTCAAGTTTATCTTTCTTCAAGGTGCTAAATTGTTGTTCATCAAGAGATTTTCTTTATTGTTAAACGAAATCTCTTTATTAACTCAAGCAGATTTCTCGGTTGGAAAGGTAATTTTCATTATCCATTGCGATTAGTTATTTATATTTCTTTTGATTTGTTTTCAATATCACCGTTTATGGTTTATATTTCGCATTGTACATATTACAGATTTTCCGTCAATTTTTTTGATTTTTATGCAAGTTTGTTTACATATTCATATAATATTTATGTATTTCAATTAGTTATTTAGATTTCTTTTGATTTGTTTTCAATATCACCGTTTATGATTTATATTTCGCATTGTACATATTACGGATTTTCCGTTAATTTTTTTTATTTTTATGCAAGTTTGGTTACATATTCATGTAAAATTTATGTATTTTAGATTTTTAGTCAATTAAACAATTTTTTTTCGATTTTTTTTCTGATTTCGTTTTAATATTTCAGATTTATTAGAATTTACAAATTCATTCATATGTTTATTTTTGTTTGATTTTTAATACATTTATATTTGCTTTTAGGGTTTTAGATTTGGGGAAAGCATTTGTCTGTCTACAGTGTCTGAATAAACAGTTTACTTGTGTATTCATTCTATCTATATATCAACAAGTTTTACATTTTTTATTTTTACATTGTATTTCAATCTCAATTAGTATACCAACATGTTTGTATTTTCTTCTTAATTTGTACTCATCCTAACTGTATGCTAACAATTTTGTATTTTATTGGGTAGTCATTCTGTATTTCAATCTCAATTTATATGTGAACAAGTTTGTATTTCTCTTTGTTTTGTATTCAACCTAATTGTATACCAACAAGTTTTGTATTTTATGTGCCTACTTTTTAAAGTCATTTTGTATCTCAAATGAAGAGAGTATTTAATTTCTTTTGTATTCACAACTTTATATTCAATCTCACTTTTGTATTCATATATTGTTGTATTCAACATATAGTTCATGATCCATTAGTTTGTATTTTACCTTTCAAAGTCACTTTGTATTTCAAATGAAGAGAGTATTTCTTTTGTATTCACAATTTTATATTCAATCTCACTTTGTATTTATAACTTTGTATTTTCATCTCACTTTTGTATTCATATATTGTTGTATTCAACATATAGTTCATGATCGATTAGTTACATTAACTTAATGGGATACAAATTATTGTATGCATTCAAACAGAAAAAACGGAAAAGGGTCAAAATTGCCTTTGAACAATGCGAAATAGACCACTTATATCCTCCATTACATTTTAGGATCAAAAATACCCCCACAGTTATCCTAGGAGACCACAAATACCCTCAAGAGTTAACACCCCAATTTTTTAGTGACATGGCAAGCCACATGGGACTAATCCTTCCACGTAAGCATTGCCAACTAAGATTCACTACAAAAGAACTTGACTTTTAGTGGCGACAAAGTCGCCACAAAATCCCAAATTTTTGCCACTAAAGGTTATGAGTGATTTTTAGTGGCGACTAAGGCTCCAACAACCATTCGCTAGTAAAACCTATTTTTTCAACAAAAAAATATGATAATTAATTTTCGATTGCGACCTAATTTTCTAAAATAAATAACTTGCAATATCCATATGAAAAACATCCAATATTATTACGAAAAATAATCAAAATTACTTCTCGATTCAAATCTCCTACTATATATATATAATGTATCATTGTACATTTTATACATTTACATATGACATAAAAATAAAACATATAGTGTCTTCAAACTCCTACTTAATCGATATCATATTTTGTTTTTTAAAAATAATGAAGAAAAAAACACAAAATTAGAATTTAATGTTAAAAACTTTTAGTGACGATTTTCTAGGCTTTTGTGGCGACTGTTGTTGCCGCTAAAGGTCTAGTTCTTTTGTAGTAAATCCTAGTTGGCAACACTTAGGTGGAAGGATTAGTCCCACATGGCTTGCCACGTCAACAAAAATTTGGGGTGTTAACTCTTGAGGGTATTTGTGGTCTCTTAGGATAACAGCAGGGGCATTTTTGATCCCAAAATGTAACGAAGGGTATAAATGGTCTATTTCATATAGTTCGGGGGCAATTTTGACCCTTTTCCGCAGAAAAAATAGCTACTAAACTAAAAAAAAAAACAATTTCATTCGTTATACATCATAATTTGGATACAAAACATCCTGAAAAAACCATAAATCCCAATGCATACAAAGATTTCACTAATTCAATCAGAAAAAAAAAAAAACACTCTTGTACTCGACATATACGAATATCTCATTCAAACAAATAAAAAAAATACCTGATTGTTTTTCGATTGTTCACTGGATGCGATAAATTTATAGTTGTCAATTTTGAAAAATTATGTTTCAAAAATATGTCGTATTCAACTTGAAGAAGCTTTGAAAGTTATCAGGTGAATGATTCGGAAGACAAACTAAATTATTTTAATTATTTTTTTTGATGTTCTTAAGAAGAAAGCAAAAAAACACTCGACCGAAAGATGGCTATTTATGCTCTTTTCAAAACGTAACTGATTTGTATTTAAAATCTTTTTCACTTTTTTTGAATTTTTTTGTTTCATGATTTTCTCTGTTCTGTTATTAATATTTGTATTTTTTTCAAATTAATCAAAATAAAATAAATACATAACTAATTCCTTAACAAATTAAAATAATGACATTTTTAATAAATAATGAAACAGTTGCTAAGGAATCCCACTAAAAGCTAAAATATTGTTGTTTTGAAAATTTTCCCAAAAATGTATGTTTAACACAAAAACTTGGCACCTCAATTAGATTGGGCTTTATCATATAAAAGCCCAAACTCAATACTAATCTCAAGCTTGATTGACAAGTTTGAGGAACTAATCAGCCCAAGGATAAAACTATTATTATTCTTTTTTTAATACAAGAAAGTGTTTGTTTAGAGAGTAAAGGAAACGTCGAGCTTTCTAGAACAAAATAAGTGTTTGTAAAAAGTTGTTTTCTATAAGCTAAAAAAAAATTTAAAAAGCTTACAAGTTTTTTGGAAAGTACCTTTGGAAGATCAATTATAAATGGGTGAAAATCATTTACTCCTTCAATTCTGGTTCAATACTCAAACTTCTCTCGACTTAAAAAATAATCATCCCCCCTTATTTTATGCAAGGACTATTGTATGAGAATAAAGTTTCGTTCTTGAAATATAGCAAAAAGGAAAATATGAAGATCTCTTTATATAGTTGTAAGCTAGAGTTTGAGGGTATTTCGGTTTTCAAGCAATTTTAGCGGATCTTGAGCCTGAAGAGCATGAGTTAGGTTCATTTTGTCAACTTAATGGATTACCCAAATGTAATTTGGACTTTATTTAAGTCATATAATATTGACTTAAAATTGGAAAAATTGCCTAAATACACAACTTATTTTACCATATTCTCTAAAATCTCTACCATTTGAAAAAATTACAAAAATCCCTACCTTCTCATTTTCGCGGATACATCACTATACTTGATATATCGGTTTGATGCATCACTTTATGCGATATATCAGGACGTACCCGATGTATCGGGATGTTGAGTGATGTATCCAAAACTGAGACGCAATGTATCGGGATGTATCCAAAATCGAAATGCGGGTATCGGGACATTTTGGGATGTATCCAAATTCAACCAAATTTAAGGGATTTTCGTAATTTGAAAAAGAGTAGGGATAGAATATAATTAGCTCTTAACACTATGGATAGTGTAAAATTCCCTAAATATTAATCTGACTTTATCCTGTAATTTGATTTGGTCAATATATCATGAATTTATGGATTAATCCAAAAATTAATATGGATTTATCAATAAAATTTCAATGTGTACAACTATTTTACCCTTGCTATTTTCAATTCTCCATTTGTGTAACATCCTTTTATATATATATATATATATATATATATATATTATGTATTTATAGGTTTTTATTTATGTTCATTAACATTTATGCAAGTAGAATTGTCCTTATATAAATTTATTGCAAAATCTAATATTATTTTTTATGATTGTTATTTTAATATTGTATGTATTATATGTATATTTAAATTTTACTTATCTTTTAAGCATAATACATGAACGTGCTTTTTAACTTGATTTCAATTAATACATTAGTGACTTAGCTCATCACGCTTCTTTTTTAAAAAAAATTATAGAGAGAGAGTAGGGGGAGGGGGCACAAAAGGTTGGTCCTCACTTTGATTACCTGGTAAAAAAATGGCAAGTGCATTTAAATTTGGGAGGATGCTAATCTACCACCTACACCCAGTAGATTAGCACCCCCTAACGTGTTAATTATGGGAAACATATAGTCAATATGCTGCTAAACAATCTAATGAGCTAAGGTAATTCACTGAGGAATTTAAATATTTAAAAGTAAATATACTAAAAACTCAAAGATATATTCAATATTTTCTATATATACATAAAACTAATTTTATTTTGTTATGTACAATATATCTTTTGTTAAAGGGGGTTCGGACCCTCTGGCTTTTACTTGGCTCCGCCCGAGCCTATGTAGTGGGGGAATTAAATTGGCTATGAACAAAGAGGTCTTACTACATTAATTAAATGTTGCGTGCGATATGCTTCATATATATAATTAATGCTTTTGGTCTATCTAATTTGATTCATATGTAATTTAATATCTTCATCGATTCTTCGTTATATTTTGAGATCGATTATTTAGATATACCCTTGTTCTTAGAAAATCCTTTCATATACTCTTGGCCCTAATGGAACTCCAACGTGAATTTAACCAAAGTATAACAGAAGGTAAGTTTATATATACAAGGCTAAAATATTGGAGTAAATCTGGACTAAAATTTGTCAACGACAAGGGCATGAGTGATATATTGCTAAAGAATAATTTGTGGTAAAATCAAATATTATATATAGTAAAATTTAAGGATTAATTTAGACTTTCTTTTCCAAAAATCTCATCAACTATTTTTTTTTTTAAAAAGAAAAAAAGAAAAAACTAGAGGAGATTTTTGTTAACGTGTCTATTAGCTTTAATTTAATGAATTGGAGTGCTCACTATTGGTACTTTCTTTTCGTAGGCTTAACTAACCTTACCTTGTGGTGTAAATTTCCAAAGAAGCAATAATAAGATTAAACTTAATTCAACAAGTTATGCCGGTTCAAAATCGAATCAAAATCGATAATACGAAAAAAAGTAATTATTAGTTTATCGTTAATGGGTTATTGGTTTAACGGTATTGATTTTTTTTAATTATCGGGTTATCGATTCTTAACGGTTTTACCGATAACTCGATAGTAAATTAATTAATTATAATTATACCATTCGATACATAAAGTATTTGACTTAGAGTTTAGTTTCATATTTTTATATACAACAGTCTCAAACTTTCAGTTATTCTACAATGCGTTAGTGTTACTTTTGAACAAGATACAAGCTATCAACTCATGTGCATGTTTTGTTTGGTTTGTCACCATGTTTCTATGTGATTTTCAATCATTTATTTTTTTGTGTCAAATCTTATAAGTTAAACCGATAACGATCAATAACCGATAATCAGATAATCGATAAGTCAATATCTTAGTGGTTCTATAATGATTTAGCATATTTACAAACCGATAACCGCTAAGTCGAACAGATAAACTTCAAAATCGAACCGAAATGAACCGACCGATAGTGAGGGTACGCCTAATTATCAAATGCTAGCTATCTCAATCAATATAACTTTACTAGATTGGATTGGAAGTGTATAAATATAGTAAGCTTTGTAATTGGACATAAATGGAATGCTCACAATTCCAATTCTTAAAGGACATACTTCTTAGATACAATCATACAAAAATGAGCATAACAATATTTCCCACTGTTGAGAAATGCACATCAGAAGGACGAGAAAAAGCTACACTAGTTACTGACTTCGATGGAACCTTACTACGAGATAGTAGCTCTTTCGCTTATTTCGCGTTGGTAGCTTTCGATGTTGGTGGGGTCTTAAGGTTACTATTTCTTCTCTTAGCTTCACCTCTCATGGGGATTCTTTATTATTTCATCTCCGAGTCTGTTGGAATTCAAGTTCTTATATTTGTAACATTTGTAGGGATGAAGGTTTCCGATATAGAATCAGCAGCACGTGCTGTGTTGCCAAAATTCTATTCTGAAGACCTTCATCCTGAGTCTTGGAGAGTGTTCTCATCGTGTGGGAAACGTTGTGTTTTGACTGCCACCCCTAGGATTATGGTGGAACCTTTTTTGAAAGACTACTTAGGGACGGATATCGTTTTAGGGACCGAGATTGAAACATATAAAGGTAGAGCAACTGGCTTTGTTAAATCTCCCGGAGTTCTTGTTGGGAAGAACAAAGCTGATACTCTTACAAGCACTTTTGGAGATACTCAACCTGATATTGGCTTGGGTGATCGCGATACTGATATTCCTTTTGTGACATTGTGTAAGGAAGGCTACTTTGTTCCATCAAACCCAAAAGTAAAGGCGGTAAGTACAAAAAAACTTCCCAAGCCTATTATATTCCATGATGGTCGTCTTATCAAAAAGCCAACACCACTAATATCTCTTCTCATCATTCTTTGGATCCCCTTCGGCTTCTTCCTATCTTGTTTGCGAGCTTGTGCAGGACTCCTCCCTACACCTCTTCAATACTACGCCTCATGGGCCATGGGTGTCCGTCTCATAATCAAAGGAAACCCACCACCCCGTATCAAGAAATCTAAAGATCAATCAGGCGTACTCTTTGTTTGTTGTCACAAGACTCTTTGTGACGCTGTTTTACTCTCTACAGTGTTAGGTCGCCCTATCCCAACAGTTACATACTCTCTTTCGCGATTTTCTGAAATCATAGCACCAATTAAAACAATTAGACTCACTAGAGAACGAGGTTCTGATGCATCCATTATAAAACAACTATTAAAAGAAGATGATCTCGCAATTTTCCCAGAAGGGACTACTTGTCGCGAACCATTTCTTCTTAGATTTTCATCATTATTCGCTGAGCTAACCAATGAGATCGTCCCCGTGGCAATGGTGAATAAGATGAGCATGTTTCATGGTACAACAGCTAGAGGATGGAAATGGATGGACATATTTTTCTTTCTCATGAATCCACGTCCCACTTATGAAATTACATTCTTCAATAAGTTGCCGTATGAGTACACTTGCAAGTCTGGGAAATCAAGCCATGAAGTAGCTAACTACGTGCAAAAGGTTATCGCGGAAACTCTCTCTTACGAGTGTACTATTTTTACCAGGAAGGATAAGTACATCGCGCTTGCAGGAAACGATGGCACAGTTATGAAGAAAAGTTGAATAAAGCTAAAAGTATAATGAAGTTTTTATTAATTTGATCAACAATGATGTGACTAATATTATAGAAATAATGAAGGTTGCTTACTCTACTCTACAATTCCACCTTAAAGTTATTATTGTAATTTCAATTTCTGCTTTGGTTGATGATTTGAGTGATCCTGTTAAGGTAACTAAAATTAGGTTTATATGCGGCCCAGATTCAATCATTTATCTCATCAAAGATAAACAGACGAGACAAGTATTGAAAACATCCTTGAACTTGGTACAAATTATTAATTTCGTTTTCATACTATTGATTGTCTGAAGAATACCTCTCTACTTGACTAACTTAACTAAAATGCAACCCAGATCTACCATATGACATAGTAAGTGGTCTCAAACTCTTGTAGGAGCACGAAACTCTTAATAAAAAATCAAGAAAAGTGTTGAAAACTCCCCTAAACTTGGTGAAAATTCAGGGGTGTATTTCATTCATATCGGGTGTGTATTTAAGTTCAATTAGTCGAGTAAAGAGGTGTTTTTAAGGCTGTCAATAGTTCGACGCCGAGTTTATGGGTGTTTTCAATACTTCTCTCTGAACAAAATAATGAGATTTTTCGTTACTTGTCTCTTTCGATACGTAATTAACTTTATTAATTTAATTAAATGAATTGGACTAAGAGCTCACATATGCTAATTTCTATCTTTTCGTAGGCTTAACTAACCTACATTATTCCGAAAAAGCATTTATAAAAAAGGTAACTTAATTCAACAAATTGTGCCAATTATTAAATGCTAGAGATCTCAAACAATGTAGCTTTACCACGGGCTTAGTGTTATAGCACACAATATAAGTGCATAAATGTATAAGTTATGTAATGGCATAACATAGAAAAATAAAGATTACACAAAGAGTAAATTTCAAGCATATTAAAATGGGGATAACAACATTTCCTACTATTGAGAAATGCACTTTGGAAGGTCGAGCAAGAGATACAATAGTTGCTAACTTGGATGGAACTTTACTACGAAGTAAAGCTTCTTTCGCTTATTTCGCGTTGGTAGCATTCGATGTTGGTGGGGTCTTAAGGTTACTCTTTCTTCTCTTAGTTTCACCTTCTTTCAGTATTCTTTACTATTTCATCTCGGAGTCTGTTGGACTCCAAGTTATTATCTTTGTAACTTTTGTAGGGATGAAGGTCTCCGATATAGAATCAGCAGCACGTGCTGTGCTTCCAAAGTTCTACTCTGAAGACCTTCATCCCGAGTCTTGGAGAGTATTCTCATCATGTGGGAAACGTTGTGTTTTGACTTCCACCCCTAGGATTATGGTGGAACCATTTTTGAAAGACTACTTAGGGGTAGAAATTGTTTTAGGGACTGAGATTGAAACATATAAAGGTAGAGCAACTGGCTTTGTTAGATCGCCTGGAGTTCTTGTTGGGAAGAACAAGGCTAATGCTCTTAGAAGGATTTTCGGAGAAACTCAACCTGAGATTGGTTTGGGTGATTGCGATACTGATATTCCTTATATGACTTTGTGTAAGGAGAGCTACTATGTACCGCGAAACCCAAGAATAAAGGCTTTATGTATAAACAAGCTTCCCAAGCCTATTATATTCCATGATGGTCGTCTTATCAAAAAGCCAACACCATTAATGTCCCTTCTCATCATTCTTTGGATCCCATTCGGGTTTCTTCTTGCATGTGTGCGTCTCAGTGTCATGTCACTCCTCCCAATACCTCTTCAGTACTATGTACTTCTAGCCATCGGCATTCGTCTTACCATTAAAGGCACCCCACCACCCCGTATCAAGAAATCTAAAGACCAATCAGGCGTACTCTTTGTTAGTTGTCATAGGACTCTTTGCGACCCTGTTTTCCTCTCCGTGTTGTTGGCCCGCTCTATCCCTGTTGTTACATACTCCCTTTCGCGATTTTCTGAGATTATTTCACCTATAAAAACAGTTAGACTCACTAGAGATCGAGCTTCAGATGCATCTATTATAAAACAACTTTTAAAAAAAGGTGATCTCATAATTTTCCCAGAGGGGACTACAAGTCGTGAACCATTTCTTCTTAGGTTTTCTTCATTATTTGCTGAGTTAACCGATGAGATTGTGCCCGTGGCAATGGAGAATAAGATGAGCATGTTTCATGGCACAACAACGCGAGGATGGAAATGGATGGATGCGTTTTTCTTTCTGATGAATCCACGTCCCACTTATGAAATTACATTCTTGAATAAGTTGTCGTATGAGTTCACTTGCAAATCAGGTAAATCAAGTCATGAAGTGGCTAACTACGTGCAAAAAGTTATTGCTGAAACTCTTTCTTATGAGTGCACTACATTTACTAGGAAGGATAAGTATATGGCTCTTGCAAGAAACGATGGCACAGTTGTAAAGAATACTTGAATCAAGTTGTATTGGGTTTGTAATAAAAAAATGAGGTTAAAAACTTAAATTTTATATGTAATTTGAATTTCTTTTTTTTTTCTAAAATTAGGTAATATCTGTTTAAATAGTTATTTGTAGTACTTTTGTCGTTTAGATCAAAAAAAAATTTGGATTTAATCTTTCAAAATTCTCAAGTCCGCCACTTTAGAAATCCGTAATTTTGTTAGCACCATAAAATTTAATATAATGTAACTAAATGTGTATATTAAAACTAGTAATATTGAATGATATAACATATAATCAATAGGTTCAATTAATCTCAATTCCACTGACACAAAATATGAATCTCTTTCTATATATATAAATTAACAATTCAATAATAAGATCTAAAAGTCAAATCGATAAAATTGATATAATAGTATTAAACTTGTGGGTACACAGCGTTTTGATCGCAAACATTTAGGCAATATGTTGCCAAACAATCTAAGCCGCTCTACTTTAGTCTACCGCTGCCGACTTCTCCAAAGTTTTGGGGAAAAAAACAACTTTAGTTTGGTCATTTGGTTATAAAAATGGGACAGATAAAAGAATATTATATTCTATGAATTGAAATATTTTACAACTTGAGATATTTTATATATGAAGTTAGCTATTTTATTCTCTTTATAGGATAGTTGATTCCATCATTTTATTTTAGTACAAAGTATATCTTGAGATTAATTAATTTTATCTTGGCTTATTATTTCTTTATCCCATCAACTAAAATGTATTCGAGAACTTATTAATGTTTAGAGAGGTTTTTGTTAAGCTTGTGCACATTATGCCTTTGTGGCTACCTAATTTGGCTCGTTTCCCTTTCAGGTATTATACTTTGGAAAAGAGTCTTAATACCCACATCGTTCGTTTCACGAAATCGATGTAAATTAAAGTCTATGGTTTGATGTAATTAGGTGTAATGCGAAAGCTAGCAAAACAAAACTCTCAAAGTCCTAGGACTACATTGTGAATGCTGACTAAGTTATAAGGAACAAACCTCTATTTATAGAGTCCTAAACCGTTTTTTACAAGAAAAAGACTGGTCGACCATAAACCTTTTCCTAAAAGGAAAAAACATATTTACTGTAAGAAACTCAAGGCAATTAATACCCAACAAATCTCCACCTTGTCCTAAAATTTCTGACAAATTAAATTTGTCTACCTTCTTCACATAATCTTCAGCCGCTTGCATCTCCTCTCCATGATCTCCTTCATCAGATCTATGTCTCGATACAGAGAATCTGATCTCTAAAACAATTTCTTCAACAAAATTTTCATTACTGTCAAATAAGTTGCGGCTAGAACTACACCCGCCAAGATGAACACCCAATTTTTAACTTGATTCAACCATTGATTATCGAACCACTGAACTTGGCTCCATCATTAAACCATTGGACCTGGCTCCATCATTGAACCAATCCAACCTGGCTACTACATCATTGAATGTAGCTCTGATACCACTTGTTAGAATCGAAATAATTAGATGTAATGCGGAAGCTAGCAAAACAAACCTCGAAAGACCACGAGTAAGAACACAAACGACAAATATACCCAACAGATTTTCCTTGAAAAAATTAGTCTTCTCAGTCAATTTTGACCCGATTTTTGTTAAGGATATAGGCAAATCGATATTACATGATATTGCTTCGACTAACGTACATTTACCTTTAGTGATACTCTCCTATTATATTATCTTTGCTACATCTTTATGTGGATAAGAGATAATATAATTCTCCCGTTAATTAAAGTAGAGATTTAAAGCAAAAAATGTTAAGCCGACCTATTATATATGTGCCTAATCTTCTATGATGAATAACTTGTGCCACTTCTCAAATATTCTACATATGTTGAATGTCAATATTTTACTACGTGCTAAACATGTACAAAGTTAATGCACATAAAATAATATTCCAATAAATTTGAAATATGGATAGTCCCTTTTCTTCTTTAAAAAAACATATATAGGTAGGTGCCAAACTTCCTAGCTCTTACAAGAATCATTTTAATTTTGTCAATTACTCTATTAATATATATATATAGATTGTACATATATAGAGTTACAAATTCAGAGATTATATTCTTCTATGCTTTTCCCTTAGAACAACTTACTCAAATTACCATTTAAATTAAGCTACGATCGAAAAGATGGCGATCACGAGGTTTCCGATGGTCGAAAAATGTACATCGATCGATCGAGAGAATGACACAGTTGTAACGGACTTGGATGGAACATTACTACGTAGTAGAAACTCTTTTGCTTATTTCGCGTTGGTAGCTTTCAATGTTGGTGGGGTCTTAAGGTTACTATTTCTTCTCTTAGCTTCACCTATCGTGGGGATTCTTTATTATTTCATCTCGGAGTCTGCTGGAATACAAGTTATTGTCTTTGCTACATTTGTAGGGATGAAGGTTTCCGATGTAGAATCAGCAGCACGACACGTGCTGCCAAAATTCTATTTAGAAGACCTTCATCCCGAGTCTTGGAGAGTATTCTCATCGTGTGGGAAACGTTGTGTTTTGACTGCCACCCCTAGGATTATGGTGGAACCTTTTTTGAAAGACTACTTAGGGACGGATATCGTTTTA